AAAAAAAAAAAGGTATGGCCAAAAAATGTTTTGAATTTAGTTGCTTAACTATAATCGAATACATCCTGTGCTGTTATTTGGCATAACAAAAGAAGTAAAAAGATTTCCTGCCATATTTAGGTGAAATTTCAGTGGCATAAATTGTATCTAACAGGTGTCACACAAATGCCCCACTTTTTTGGTGAATGTTCAACGTTTTTACGATAGCTTCCTCGGCAGTTTCGTCTTTTTTTTCTTCTACTGCTACTGCTGCAATTCAAAAAGCAGAATCGTTGACAGCGGAACTAAGAATAGCAGCTAAAACTGAAAATTTCGTCCTCTAGACATAGGAAGCCGAAGCTGAAGATCAAGCGACGAGCAAGTGAATGATCAAAGTAACAAGAGCTGGAGAATGTGGTTGGCGGATGAATGGGCTGGCCAGGTGGTGTTCAGGCAGTTCTTGAACAAGTTGTTTTCTAATAGGTTTTAACTGTGTACGCACTCTTCTTCTGCCAGCTTCAAGTATGAAGCAGTTTGTCAAGCCACTTAACTACTATCTGATTAGTTGTCTTCGTCATCACCTCAGCTAAAAGTTAGCTAATTTTTCGTCCATCAGCAACAGTTACAAACCTCGCCGAATTGTCACTGCTCAACTGTTAATAATTAAAGTTGCTGTGGGGTAAAAATAAAACAAAACTTGATTTTTTTTTCTAATCCTAACGACTCTCCTCCGTCATTAGACCAACTATTCTAAAATCAATTTTTTGTTGTTGTTGTTGTTGTTGTTGTTGTTGTTGTCAAATTAAATTTAAAAAAAAGAAAAATTAGAAAATCAAAATAAAGTAAAAAAAAAACAAAAAAAAAAGTAATAAAGAAGACGAAGGTGAAGAAGAAGGGGAAGAAAGTCAATATTAAATATTTTCGATGCTACTTTTCATTATCTAAAACCTCAGCATTAAACCATTTGTGATTCCACCCGTCACTGACGACTGTTAATTTTTTGTACGTCACCGAAGGTAACTTTAAAATTAATTCCTTTTCCTTTTCCGATTCTTTCTTGCTAAACAATCATTTTTCGAAGAACAAGGATTGACTACGGATTTGTGTTTGCCTGTGATTGTGTGTGAGCAGTGTTTCCATTTTTGCGTCTGTGTGTTTGTAAAATGCTCATATATGTTAACTTAATCTTAATCAAAAATCACCGTACGATCACTGCTTACTGCTTTAAAGATTCAAAAAAATTTTTTGAAAACAGCAAAGATAAAAGAGGAAAAAAAAATTCTCACCCGTTTTATTGAGTAATTTAAAAATTGTTTTTGTTATTATTCATAACGAAAAAAAAGGTAATAATAATAGTAAAAATAAATATAAAAATAAATAAAAAGAAAAAATTTCACACTTCCATCTTTTTTTTTCTTGATACCATCGATTAGATGTACTAAAACCGCTTGCTCTTGCGACACATAGATCTATGACTTGACGGGAGAGCAGAAAAGACTAAGCTGCTGTAAGTAACATAGAACAAGCAACATTCCTCTTTTTTTTGTCTGTTTTTCTGTGTGTATTTAACACAACCCAAACTAAGCCACTCGACTACTATCCAAAGCCATGTTTAATTAGGCAATAATATTGCAGTAACTGTATCTGATCTGCCTTCAAACTGTTAATGCTTTGCCCTGATTCAATAACTTGAGAACTTGAATATCTTCAATTCCTCTAAGAAAATGAAACAAAATTCCTTGCCTCAGCCTGCCAGAGAAAAAAAAATAAAATTTCAAATTTTTTTTCAACAATTTTACATTTATTTTACTATGTAGAAGATTGAAAAGACTGTTCTTTTTGAAGTTTTAAAAAGTTTCATTTTCTCCTCTTTTTTTCTTCTTTTTTTAAACGTTTTTTACTTTAACAATTCAAGTTATTTTTTCAAAGCTCAAAGGAAAGCTGAGAAGAGGAGGAAAAAAGAAAGTTTAAAGGAAAAGAGATTTTTGTTACAAAAAATAACAACTGAACTGTTAGTTTTAATATAGAAAGAAATTAAGTGATCAAATGATTTTTGAGCAGTGTTATAATAAATTCATTCCAGAATTCATCCCAGGCAGTGACTTTCTAAAATTTTTAAATTTCAAAATCTATTGTAGAAAAAAAAAGTTAAAATAGTAAAGATAGGAAATTAAAAAATTTATAATTTAATTTATTTCCAGGGTCACCGGCAACATGATCAGCGGGTTAGAACTTTTAGAAGTGATGCTCCATATTTCACTGTCTAACTACACTTGGCCATCCACCAACTACTGTTCATTTGGAAAATTACCATTAACTAAAATTTCAAAGAAACTTCTTGATAATAGTGAAATTTTTTCCCAAAAACTTCAAAAATAACTCAAAAACAAAAAAAGCAATCAATAAAATTAGCGCTCAAAAGTTCAAAGGTCTTTTTTTAGCGCAGCGCAACAACATAAGCGCCGTTTGATTCCACTCCGTCGAACAGAAACGATGGGCATCGCAGACAGGAGAACAGGTGAAAAACTAGATGAAGTATGGGAACAAGGTGGCGATAACTTCCAGGTAGTAAAACAATTTTAAATTTTACTTACTCGTCACCAATCTATCACAGAAGACTGTCATAATTTTACAGGTTATTCCGTCTGACGGAGTCGATCTTAATGGTGAACCAATGTTTTTAAAGCTGAATATTGGAGGAACAGAATTTCTTCTATTAGTTAACACAATAATTAAATTAGATTCGTCTTCATTTTTATCGAAGTTTGTACAGTTGACTCACGATGCTCGTTTAAAAGTAGGATATTTGTCAAGTTTGAGGAAAAACATATGTAACTCATGCAAGTCAACAAATCCAACACTCTCTGTCAACCAAAAACGAAACTAATATTACAGGTTGCTGACGCTTTTATACCAAGTACTGGTGCTTATTTCTTTCAACGCTCTGCAGTCACGTTTGATTTTGTTTTTCAATATTACTCCACCGGTGTAATTCATCGGCCGCCAGAAATATGTACAGCGCAATTCCTCTCTGAGCTCGAATTTTGGCGTCTTCCTCAAAAGCAGGTCGGATCTTGTTGTGCTGAAGATTTGCCTCGCGAAGTATCTGAAGAGAAAGAGGAAGAAAAGGTAATGTCTGCCAGTACTTAGTTGTTTATTTCACTTTCTTGGTCATTCGATGTGCGCTTTTGAAAACTGGAGATTTCAAGCGTATAGCACAGGAACATTTCAGGTTGATGATCACACGTTTGACAATTTGATGTTTGGTAAATTGAGGCGGCGTATGTGGACCTTTTTGGAACGCCCTGGTTCATCTATGCAAGCAAAGGCCTTCGAACTCTCATCAACTTTGTTTGTTGCTATCTCTGTCCTGGGCTTAAGTTTCGGAACAATACCGGATTTTCAGGTAGTTTATATCACATTAAAAATAGTCCTCAATAGTCGTTCGAAAAAAATTCAACCTACTTATTGTTCTTTAACAATCGGTAGATCCAAGATGCTCTTCCTTTTAGCGTTTTGAATCCTTAGTTCTCCACTGTTTTTTTACAGGTGATACGAAAGATGCCTCCGTATAATACAACAGTAACTTTTCCAAATGGAACAGTATCTGTTGTGGAAAAATCTGAAACAATTCGTCTGGAACACCCGGCCTTTGTTTTTACTGAACGCATCTGTATCGCCTTTTTTACCATTGAATACTGTTTACGGATATTTGCTGTGCCAAGAAAAATTCGATTCGCATTGAAGCCTCTAAATTTGGTTGACCTGCTTGCCATTCTACCTTTTTACTTGGAACTGTTGTTAACACTGTGCGGTGTTGATGACAGCAAATTAAGGGATTGGCGGTGGGCGTTTTTGGTTGTACGTATATTACGGGTACTTCGAGTAATACGTATAATCAAATTGGGGCGATTCAGTTCTGGCCTCCAAACATTTGGGATGACACTCCAAAGAAGTCAGAAGCAACTTCAGATGATGACTATTGTACTTCTAACAGGAGTGGTATTCTTTTCTACTGTAATTTATTTCCTAGAGAAGGATGAGGAGGGAACTCCTTTTACGAGTATCCCAGCAGCATACTGGTGGTGTAAGCACTTTTGAATCATTTTTTCCTTCAAAAAAAATATGTAAACTCAAAGCCTAAAAGAAACATAGTTTCTAAATACAAACCTTCATTCCCAAAATTTGTTTTTTCATATCAAACCTTTTTTCTTAGAACTAGTTCACATCATTTCCCTTACAGGCATAGTGACGATGACTACTGTTGGCTACGGCGACGCTGTTCCGGCAACATCAAGTAATCTTTTCAAAATTGAACTCTTCAAAAATAATCTTTAGTTGAATTGGGATTACTTGAAAAAATTTTAGTGGGAAAAGTTGTTGCTTCGGCAGCAATAATGTGCGGCGTATTAGTTCTCGCGCTCCCAATTACCATTATTGTTGATAATTTCATAAAGGTTGCTCAAGACGAACAGCAAGCAGAACAACAAAAATTGGAGATGCAACGACAAGAGCAGGCACTGAAGGCAATGCTCAATTCTTCAAAAAGTGATGATTATCAGTGCTGATAGTTCTAAAGTTTCATTATTCCGATTAATAATAATAATTTCCAAGAAAAAAAACTTGAACTCAGAGCTATAACAAAGACTAAAATCTTTTTCTTCGACTACAAAAAATTCGTTTTCTTAAAATTTAAGTTCTATTTTGTACTAATGAAACCAGAAAGTTTTATACCGATCTCAATGACGGTAAATCTTAATTAGGTACACGTTTAAAAGTGCTCAAT